GCAACAATTTTTTCAGAATCATAAGGTTTATTTTAATTCTATGTAAATAATATAACTTTTTTCATTTAATTTACGATTGCGTACATACCATTTTATATGCTGTGACCTTATTTATATTATAGAGACTTATTTTGCAAGGTACGACTATGGAACGTAACGTTATATCCGCACTTTTACTGCACTCTTTTATTCAGACTATAGTCATAGTCAGTGTTGTCAGGGTAAATTAAAAGTTGTCAGGGTAACTAAGAAGCTCCCTGATAACTCTAAAGTTTCTTGTTTGATTTCCCCTTTCCTTGAATTTCACAAGGGAATGCTCTTTTATTAGATTTGTCACGACCGATGTTGCTAGACCAATGGAAGGACCATGTCCAAAAAGTACATTGCTAATGACCAAAACTTTATGAAATTCTACTACTAACCCCGTATATCGCAAAATAACATGTTTTTCCGGTACGGCGCCAATCTGAAAAATATACTTTCTATGAGAAAATATTCGAATCCATATTTATAAACACATCAAAATATACCATCTAATAATCATATATACATACATAACGTGATAAATAATCAGTGTAATCAGTGTTTGAGTATCTTCTGGAAGCGGCGTCGTCGTCTTCAGCGTCCGTCAGTCAGCGGCGTCCAAACGTAATGACGCCGTGGCGCTAGCCGAGGGCGCCCATCGCCAGCGTCGGCCGGCGTCTACTGTCGAAGACTTGCCGTCCCTCGTACTAGACCAACATTTCACAGTGAATTGAGTTGTTATTATGAATAGACAAAAAACATTTCAATATAATTTTATTAGATACCTAGTCTTTTGCTTTGATAGTATATTTTTTAGAGTATTACTAACAAGTTGATGGCGAATTAGAAATAAAAAAATAATAATATAGAGCGCCCTTTGTAGGCAAAACGACTTTTAAAAATTGTCAAATTTAAGTATTTAATGCACTTGTATGTTCTCATTTTAAATAGATATCGGTATTAAAAAATTAGTTATTTTATAAAAAATACCAACTTTGGCTGATGAACGTAGTCAGAAGTCTCATCGGTTATAAAAGCAGTTCGCAATGATTTTGTAGCCGAGAGCAAATGCATAGAAATTAAATATATTGCAAAGCAGTTTTTTTTATTAATATAGAGATAATTTAGTTTTTCTTTGTTACAGTACCAAGTATCAGTTAGTCATACATTAATAATAATTTTAGTATATTAATAGAAAGTTAAATAGTTTTGCAGTATTTACTTATTTAATTATGTTTCTATCGATAAAGATTTGTAGTCTTTAGTATATATAGTATAGTTGATTGAGTGCATGAGTTTAGGAATCGGTTTAGTTTTTAGTGTTTGGGTATTCTGATAAACTTTAATTTTGAAATTTTGATATTTTGATGTTTATGTAAATAAAAAAATGTCTTTGTTTTTTTTTTAAAAAAATTTGTTTATTCAAAAAAAAAATAAACATACAGGGTTCAAAGCAAGTCAAGTCACAATTTTTGTTGGATTTTGACAGAATTTAAATAAAATAAAATTAAAATAAAATAAGAATTAAATAGCATTAACAAAATAAATTAAAGTAAATTAACATGAGGAAAAGATTATTTTATTTTATTTATAGAATTATATTGGCAAGCCGAGGTAGGTAAACATTATATTAAATTGTAGTGAAAGTAAACTTGACTAAAGAACGATATCATTACAAGACTATTATTGAGGCAGCGGTTCTTTACACTGACGTCACCACTTTCTGAGCTAAAACAGAAAGTTTTTATGTTATTTCATTTTCTTCTACGCACATGAAAATGTCTTTTAAATACTGAAATAAAAACTTTTTATTTTGTCTCATTAGAAAGTGGTGACATCAGTCTAAGAAATTACTGCCTCAAGAATTTGTTTTATTTGCTATCCAGTGATAATATGGTATTTTTAATTACATGCATAATAAAAAGTCATAATTTAATATTATTGTTTGCTGCCAATGTTAAACGTTTGTATATTAGGTCATAATTTTTTCACAATAAAATTAAGAACATGAAAAGTCCACAGAATTCTCATTCATCAATATGTACTTATTTAAATTTAATATACAGAATGTCCCCCTAGGTTGGAATCTTATGGAAAACTTTTTTATTATTAATTTTAGGAAAAAAAGTTATTCTCCATAAAAAGTTCTGCATTATCTAAAACCTAGAATACACTCATCGAATATCAAATTTTTTCAGTGGCATACGAGGTATATGAGTTTTACTCAAGAGTAAAGTATCTTTATTCTTTATACGACTGATAAAATTTGATATCTGATAGTTTTATTTTAAGTTTTAGACCATGCTCGATTTTTTACAAAGAATAACTTTTTTCCCAATATTATTTTTTAGGAAAAAAAGTTATTTTTGCATTTTTATGTTTTATAAAAATATAATTATTGTAAAATAAATGTTTTTAGGTAAAATTTAGTTTTTTTTTTTTAATAAACCATAAAAAAGGAAATTGAAAACAAATTTATTGCTCTGCTAGCCAAAATAAGTAAAAAGTGGCAATTTTAAACATTTTGGTTTATTGTCTAGCGAGCATAACAATGAACAATTTTTAATAATTTTTTAATTATAAGAAGATGGTGGGGTATTATACATTTATATTTCAAAATGTAAGGGCTGCTATAAAAAAATTGTATTATCTATCAAATGTACAATTTCTTTATTTCAATCAGTAATTTTTTGATGATAAATCTATGGCAAATTAATGTTCATACCACAATCTTCTAATAACCAAAAATTTAGTTAAATTCGTTTATTTCTGTGCCCGCTATACAATAAACCAAATGCTTAAAATTATCAATTTTTACGTATTTTGGTTAGCTTTTATATATAGTATAATCGCATATCCACTATAAAACTAGTTTATAATAACTATGAGAACATTTTATAAACAGTAGTATTCTATGATATTATAACAATATAAGTGAATGATAATCCGTATGAGAATAGCTTATAAACTTTATAAGCTAGTTTTATTATCAGTACATCCGAAATTAGCCTCAGGTAAGAAATTATAATACCTGCTATAAGAATATATAATAATAAGACGATTTCACTGTCAATAAGTAATGCATTGGTAACCTTTAACAATCCGTGTTGTATTATGTCTATAGTCCGTATACTAACGGTTATGGAAGGTTCTAGCAATTCTTGTTCCATATCAGCAACAGCTCGTTTTACTGTCCCATATAGTATACAACAGTTAAATAAAGAGTACGAGAATTCTGGTAATGATTAGACCGCATTTCTTTCAGTGTACCGTAATACATTTACTGTTGAAGTTATGTTGAAGAAACCACTGTTGAAGAAAATTATGTAGAATACTTTTATTATTTTACTTTTTTTCGTACAGTGACAACTTTTATTAATCATTACATGATATTCAACATTTTTTATTTATATGGTTATTTCTTTATAAATAATATATACAAGTAGGACCCACAACATTTATGAATCATCCTGTAATTTATAAAATAGTTTTAATTGTACGTATGTAATAACATATATTACTTCATCGTGTGTATGCGTATGCAACATAAATTCAATAGACCTCGTAAGTTGGATAATAAAACTTCCGAAAAATTTTTAACTTTAACAGACCCCGTATATCGTACAAATACGATAATAATTATCGTATGTCTTGCAAAACTGATATCATCGTTCACATTATGCTTTTATTATTTTAGACGAGTGACATGCGCAGCAAGGCTAAATTGTAAGAGAGTACTCCTACACTCCTAACTCCATAGTTAATAATACGGCTCCTGAACTAAATTTTGACTGGTCGATTTCTAGAATCGTATTATTGAGCGTTACATCGTAATGAAATCAATTAACATCAGTAGAATTATTTAAAAATTAATTAAAACCATTGGTGGTCCTATAATTTGGTAACATTTTTGTGTTATTTACGAAATCACAATTCTCATTTAAATATTCCGGAAACACCTTATACATAGATCCTATATTTATCTTCATTCAGTATATTCTCATTTAAGTTCGCTTTTAATTCTTTGTTAATTGGAAACCTATTTAATTTACATCTCAAAGCAATTATTAAAAAAGTTTTAGGCTGATACGATTAGAGAAGTGTAATTTAAATGTCTTTCAAGTAAAAAAAAGCGAATGAATCGCAAATGAATTAACTCTATGTAAGACAGAAAACATACTTAGAAGTTAACAGAAGTTCCATTAAAACGACTTTCAGAGTCATCAAAAGCTTTTCAAAATTACAAAAACTCGTTATAATTCATATAAAAATACCATGAATAAAAAGAAGTGACTTTAATTTTGGTTCTTGAGGAGATAGACTTTGTTATAATGAATGATATTTTGTCACTTACCTAACGCACACTGAAAAAAAAAGAACACTTTACCTGAAACCGTTAAAAAGTTACATGTGATAACATGTTTATTAGGAACCGTAAACCGTGTAACAACTTTAGATTATTGCAAGTTGGACATTTAATGTTTTCAAGTAAACTAATTTTCTATATTCCATTTTATATCATTAATACATCTATTTTAGGAATAAGAAGGTTTTTCTGTGTCTCGAATGTGATATATCCGTAAAAAAAAATAAAACAGAGGTGGTTATATAGTCTCGGAAATATCCATTCGCTTTCTTTACAGTTTAAATGTAAAATGGTTGTAACAAAAACTTACTAGATTTTGGCACGTTGTAGATTAATTACATCATGTTATTATTTCAGGTAGCAGTTATCAAAATTTTGTCAGTTTGTTACAAATATGTATATTTTGATATTTAAAAGTTTTTGTAAGTATTTAACAAAATGGTAAAACGATTTAGTGATTAATCAAGAACATGAATCCTCAAAGTAGTTTTCTATTTTAAGACACCCAAATCTATTTGCGAGGCTCTTGGAAAGAGGTACAATCAAATTGCTGCAGAGGTATAAACAACAAAGTCGGTACCAGAAGATGTATTTCAGACTTGATCAGAAGCTTTGATAATGTTACCAATACTCAGTGGGACAATTATGTAAGACAAAAAAAAATTGTTTCCGATTGGAAAAATACAAGCAAGTTTAATTTATTAAACTCGAAAATATTTAAAAAAAAAAAAACAAAAAAATTACTTTTTGAAAATTAAGGACTTTATTTATTTGAGGTTTACTCTATTACAATCAAAGCTGAAATGAAATTAAATAATGTGTTTTACATGAGAATGATAAATTCAAGGTTAACAGTTTACGGTTTTATATTTTAATAGGATCAACATTTCTTCTTATATAACTCCTCCCTCCTTTGACGAAAACAATAATGATATAGGGTTATTTTCGGGTTGGTGGTTTTCTTCTGAGAAATTTTGGTGTTTTATTGATTTTTTCTTTTGATACTATACGTAGATCATAGTAGATACCAGGGCTTTTACTATCGTTAGGCTGGGCACATTTCAGATTAAGGGGTGGATTTCTTGTGGAAATCTTCTTAATTCTTGGATGGCTTTGAAGTTTATTGATTGTAATTTTAGAGACGGGTTTTGGCAAGTTTAGGCAGTACTAGCAGGAATTTTTTGTTCTATTATGGAGTAAAATAAAACAATTTTTTCGACTTTGTACACTGATTTTTCTGCTCGAATCAGGGCTATGGCACAGGTGTCTGGCTATACCGTGTAATATCTAAATTCAAGTGTGGCCAATAGTATTTGTTTCTCAAAGCAATTTGTGTTTCTTTAATTCCGCGGTGGCACATTTTATTTTCATGATGATATTTAATTAAATTTTCGCGTTCATCTGTTACGAATTTTCTTTATATAACTAAATTATAACTATGATTTTTGTGCTATGAGCATGAAGACAGTAAAGTTTGTTTGGATCTATGTAGTTTTTGAAAAGATTCGTTATCTGGCTACTGATTTAATTGTTGGTGAGATAGGCCGTAATGCTAAGTTTATTTTCGAAATGTTTTGTATTGGTGACATAAAAATGTGTTTTCTTTGTTTAATTATTATTTGTCTGTTATAGGAATATGTTAGGTTTTTAGTAAATGGAATTTCTAGAATGGGATTTTCTGCTGATAAATAAATTATTTCAATGTTGCCATCGGGTTATTTTGGTCCTCTAATTCATTTTGTTGAGTAACTATTATTTGATCGTCGGTAATACCTATGTTTTTTTTTCGCTTGCCTTCTGTCCATGTCCGTGAAGTTTATTGTACTTAATAATTCGTCAAGTTTTCCTCGTCTATTGGTTCTATTAGATTTTCTAGGAAGTTTTTTTTCGTGCAATCGCACGCGAAGTCACTATTTCGCGTTCTCAGCACAGTCCGCGAAATTTAATTTCGCGGCCGTTACCCATATCAACGGCTGCGAAACCAAACGTCACTTCCAAATTTGACATTTCTAAAATATTACAAAGACAAGGATTATTTTTTATTGAATACCAACAAATACATAAGTACTTATATTATTTAGGATGAATATTAACATTAATTGTACAGTTTGTATTATTACTTATATTTACTCCAGAAGTTGAAGCAACTACATCTAGTGTTTCTGAATAATGCTTATTGCCTACATTCAAACCAGATACTATATCGCCAGAAATTAAGTTGGAAATTTGCTTCTTATTTTCTGGTATTAAAACGGAAATCGCCGAATTTATAACTCTCTTGAGTTTAGGAGGAGTGGAAGGTACTGAAATATTGCTATCATTATCAAACATTTTGCGTTTTGTCAAGAACTGTCAAAATATTTTGTATGTATTGAACATTTCGATAGCACACGGTGACATTGTTAAATAAATTGAACTGCTGTTGATTTTAGAGCAATAATATATTTATTTACAATTATCTAGTTTAATAATTTTATCGATTGCACGAAAAATAGTGTGTATGCCATGGCCGCGAAACTTTTTAACGACCTCAAGATTATCTTGCCTCGGCCGCAAGCGGCCTCGGCGATAACTATTCTTTTGTTACGTTAAAAAGGTATTTCGCGGCTTAAGCATACAAATAACTATTGGTATTTGATTAATGTCACCAGGTTTCCCAAATATTAAGTTATTATCGTTATCTGACAAGTTTTGGTTTTGTTTATTATTAACATTTTGTATTATTTTTTATCTGAAAAAATGTTAAATTATTTTTGTGCCCCTCTGTAAGTGCAAGAACTTTAATAGGCTCTGTTAACTTAATAGTAATTTTTTGATCTGTATTGTTCACTATTTCTGTTTTCACGAACCAGTTACAAGATAAAGTCAGCGTTTCTCGGAAATTAGGATCTCCCTATTTTATTTCGGGTACAATACCTCACCATTAGACTCACCATCTACTGGCACTTGCATATTAACGATTTTGTATGCATTGACAGAGATTGTATCATTTTCCCTATTTATTTTATATAAAATTGGTATTTTTATATTTTAATTTTTTAATTCATTTTTTACTAAATCTACTGTAAACTTTGGTTATGTAATTCGTTTAGTCCTAGTAGTCCATCAAAATGATTATGGAATTTAAAAGCTATAACATTAAAATTAATATTGGAATTAAATTCTTTAAATGCAGTAATTTAAGCTTTATATTTGGTTTGCTATACCTCTAGCTAGAGCCGTAATTATTAAAGTTGGGTCGTTGCAAATATTTTTCGGGAAATATTTCTCAATGATACTAGAGATACTACCGGTATCTATAAAGAGTTTTAAAGGTGAATTTTGTATAACTATACACGGCAAATCCGCTGACTATGAATCGGAAAATATTTCGTTTATGTTCCTTGTTTTACTCTGACTATTTTCCGAAAATTTTCGGCACGTTGAATGTCGAAATTACTACGGCCAGAATTTATAGGAATTTGATTATTTTCCAAGTTTGAATTCATTTGATGATTTGGTAAATACTTTTCAAATTCGTAATTGATTTGATCAATAGATCAATAGATCAATAAGTAGTTTCAAAATCTATGTTATCTGTTTGAAATAGTTGTTGGGTTGCAAAATTTTGTTGATAGTTTTGTCTGGGTTTAAAAGTGTTTTGGAGGGCTATCGACATTGGTTGTTAGTAATTTTGGTAATTTTGTCTGCGTATGAAGGTATTTCGAGTAGTAGTCGACATTGTTTCTGGGCTGTTGGTGGGCGTTACGGAGTTAAATTACGGAAAGTTGTATGGGGCTAAAATTTCTTTGATTAGCATTGTCTGGGTAGTTTCTAGTATTTTAAAATGTTCAAGGGAAACTTCTATACTGGTTGTTATTAAAATATTGGTGATTGTTATTAGAATTTTATCGATTATTATTACAAACGTGATTTTCCGGTTATACCGAAAATGACTCCAAACTTCTTTATTTTAAATGGAACACCCTGTATATTTACTATAATGTCCTTGAGACTAGATGATTTTAACGATGCATTATACTTGATGTCTATTATATACAGAATATTGTAAACTAATGCATCCAGGCTATATCTCATGAACATTATCTTACAAAAAAACAGGCGTTTGCTTGATTGAGATATGAGAAAACTACATCCCAAATTGTAAAAATATGTACAGGATGCTATTTAAAATTTTAAGAGTGATAATTTTGAAGTACTTCTGCAGCAGTTGGGATGCATGCCAATAAATAGCCACCATTTGAAACCTGCTGATGTGTTCACACTATGTATCCATAGATTTCCCACCGCAATCCAGAAAAGTCATTGCGAAGAAAGCAATGGACGATCAGCTGAAGGGGGCAGTGGGGCTACATTAGTTAAAATTTTAAAAGTAATTCAAGCTGCATGTTCTGTTAGAAATTCGGAAATTGCATTAACCATCACGATAGCTCCATGACCTTAGATAGGACTGATAAAAGACTAATGGGGCAATAGTTTGAAGGTTCCAATTTATCGTCTTTTTTGAAAATGGGTGTGACTGATGCTATTTTCCACTGACCTGGTAGTGTTAATGTTTGAAATGATAAATTCATGATGATAAATGTTATATAATCGTATGAGTGGCCTGATATTTTTAAAGTCTAAAAAAGAATTAAAGCTTTTTAGCTAAAAATTTAAAGACACTGTATCTACCTCTTCGGATGATGAGGATTCACTATATTTAGGTTTTCTCTTCTTCGCAGGTTTGTTTTTAGATGGTGCTTTCTCCATGACTCTCTTCTTGATAGATCAAGCCGTTTTATAAGCAAAACATTGTTCTATTAGCATCTTCTCGGGAGTGTCAGTGAGTACAGTAGTCTCCTTTTTGCCTTCCAACATTTTTTAGTTTACTAAAGTCTGCTTTTGGTATAGGTCTCATTTGCTCAAGAGTAAAACGTTTCTTACTAGGTATTAAAACATGTTTTTCTTTAAAATTTAAAGAATAAGGTGGAGTTGACTGGTTGATGATAAAGTCGTTGATGATGCAGAACATGTTGGTTTCGAAGAAGACGGTATCTGGTCCATAATTTTCGATGATCAAGGTGTTGACGAGGGAGAGCATGTTAGTCTCGAACTAGATGCTATTGATGAAGACTGATTTGCGGTTGTGTTTTTTTAGGAGAATCATTGAGATCATTGGGATCATTAGCATTTTTACCTTCTTTAAGCGACCTATCAGTTACAGTGCTAGGCGCAAAATCATCGTCGAAAAATATTGGTCTATTAAACGGAAAAATTCCCGTGCATCTAAAGCCGCATTATGTTATGAGAGGTTATGACTTTTCAAATTATACCTGGAATGTTATAAATAGTCATTTATTTCCCGAGGTTGTTTCTCATCCAATTGTCTCACTCGTTATTATAAGCCCTTTTAAATTGTCCAAATACGGTACGGTCAAGCGGTTGAAGTTTGTGAGACGTGTGAGGAGGAACGGAGAGTAGTGTTATGAAATTATCTCAGAAAAAAATTATTACTGGAGGGGATAGGTGGAAAGAATGGTTAATAAAAATAAGCAAAACTTTACGAAATGCTTAAGAAATATCAAAAATTCGACCTCCTTCATTCAGCCGCCTTTGTTAGCTGCTCCGTAGCATCCAGTTGGTCCATCCCTAATAAAATTATCGT